CACACAGATATACCCATATACATATATGTATACTCTCTCTATATGTGTGTATATATCTTTATAGAGTCGCGCCACTGTTCAGCTCAGTGCAAACAATTTAGCACGGCCTCAGACGTGTGAGACTTAATCAAAAGCCAACTAGACACCCAACCACACCGCCCAGACAGCCACTTGGCTACCTAGTAGAACTTACTACTTAACTGTAGCGCCTATAGCTCTTTGCCTCATCGCCAGCTAGTGTCAAGTTTATGCGCCCGTGTACCTATCTAACTCGGGCTCCAGTCAATTTCCAGCTTTCCCGCCTTACTTATTAAGCAGAGTGCCTGGCGAGCATTTAAACTTGAAATGTGAAAAGTTCATTGCGCTGAATGGGTGTGAATAATAAACAAAAAACGCAGAGCAGCGCAGCTGCCTTAAGCATACATAGTTGGGCGAATAATGATGTAGAATAGCACGATTCAGCAATACCCTATCGAATGCTAATTGAGGGCTAGGCAATAAGAAGAAACCAAGTCAGAATGTGCCGAAAGAGGAATTGGAGCAAATCATTCTCTTCGGATATATTTGAATGTTTTTATCTGATTTGTCTAAAATATTTCTATTGATTTGCTGATTCCCAATGAAATATATGTGAATTATATATCAAATTTTCAATTGATACAAAAGTTCTCCCATTACACTTTTCATGGCTGCTGTTATAGGGTATTAACTATGTCTGCTAGTCGCCTGAAAAGCCAGCTCGAATGTGCCACACAGCTGTGCCACAAGCAGCATTAAACTCGAGCATAAACAATATTTTTCTTATGCGCTGCACGGCAGCTGCATTGATCGATTTTTTACTCTTTTTTTGGTCATCAAAATGTTTATGAGGCAACAGAGATGGAGCACAAGATGCTGCTGCTGCTGCTGTTGCTGGTGCTGTTGCTTGTGGCACCGCAGGCAACATCCGTTGCAATCCACAAATTGAATGAAGCAATTAATGAAAGCAACTGCCGCAGCGACAAGCGGCAACATTTGAGATTTGCATAAAACAGCGGCAAATAAATTCACGGTCAATATAAAACAAAATCACGAACAACAACAGCAACAGCAGCAACAGCAGCAGCAACAACAGCAGCAATGACAACAGCAACAACAACAGTCAAGAAAACAATGCACAAAGCCAGGGCTAAAAGAGACATAGATATAAATATATATTTGTATGTGTGTGTGTGTGTGTGTGTATACGTATGTTTATATATCACTCGGCCTGGCAACAGAGCTGAGTAAATTTGCATTTGTGCAGCCGCAAAGTGGAAAAAGCAAATGTAAATGCAGATGCGGCTGCCGGCTGCTGCTGCTGCTATTACGACTCCTGCTGCTGCCTATGCTGCTGCTGCTGCCTATGCTGCTGCTGCTGCCTATGCTGCTGCTGCTGCCTATGGTGATGCTGCTGCCTATGGTGATGCTGTTGCTGACTGTTGCTGCTGCTGCTGCTATTTTTGCTCCTACTGTTGCCTATGCTGCTGCTGCTGCTACTGCTGCTGCTGCTGCTGCCATTGCTATTACTGTTCACGCTGCCTATGCTGTTGCTGCTTCTACTGGGTGCTGCTGCTAGTACTCCTACAGCAATTGCTACTAGCTTTTGCTGCTCCTGCTGCAGCTGCTGCTCCTACTGTTACTGCTTTTAATGCTCCTGCTGCTGCTGCTATTGCTATAACTGCTACTGCTCCTGCTGGCTTCCACTGCTGTTGCTGCTATACTGTCACTGCCACTGCCATTGCTGCTGCTGCTGCTGCTGCTCCTACTGATGCTGCTTTTCATGCTCCTGCTGCTGCTGCTGCTGCTGCTGCTAAAGTTAACAAGTCGCTGTGTAGGCTGTACAAAATGAGCGCGCCCGAGTCCTGAGTCATGAGTTAATAAGCAGCATCACTCTCTGCTAACTGTTTGCCAAGCAGCTCGCACTCCCACTCTCTCTTACTCCCTCTCTCCTTCTCGCTCTCTCTCTCTCTCTCTCTCTCTGGCTGTGCGCACAATCGCGTCAGCTGTTGCCAGGTCAGCAACAGCGAAGCAGGAAGCAGGAAAAATGCCAACGTCAAAAGGTCGCCATGTTTGCCGCCATTTTTGTTCATCGCACGATTTCCGCCAGCGAAGTTGCTGAGCAAAACAAAATGGTCGAAAATGTCAAGAGCGACAGCGCAGCCAGCGTCGACAGCAGCAGCAGCAGCAGCAGCAGCAGCGGCAGCGGCAGCGAAACAACGCCTAGCAGCAACAGCTGTTGGCAACAGCGCCAAAAGCAACTGCCGAATGATGCGAATGGCCAGGCCAAAAGAGAGCAGCCAAAACGGCGTCGCTTTTAGCCTGATTGTTGTTGCTGCCTTCAATGGGGGGTGGCGTTTTGACGGTTGGGGCTTGGGGCACCGCACTGTCATTGCACCTTTTGTTAGGCTCGTTTTAGGGGTGGGTTTTTTTGGAGCCGCTTAAGCAACTTAGGCGCGCAGCACAAAAGGCGCCAAGCCAGGCGGGTTGGGGCTTGGGGCCTGCGTCATCTATACATGTATATGTATGTGTTTGTGCATGTATATATTCATGTATAAATATTTTAGGCTTTGGGGTTGGTAGTTGACGGCGATGATGACTAAGCGCTGCTCCTGCTCCTGCTCCAACTCCTGCTCTCTTGCTGCTGCTGTTGCCACGCTGAAGATGCTGCGGCTAAAAAAAAAAAAACAACAACAACAACAACAACGAAAAAAGGGTTTGTCATCTAGCCATCTATAGGGTTAGCTCGAGTGGAGTATTCTTCGCTAGTTCAAATGTGTTACTATTAGATAAATTATGCGGCTCGAGTGCTAACAAGGGGCCCGGGGCGAGGCTCAACTATGTTGGCTTAGTTTGAAATGCCATTTAATAACAGCTTAAGAGCTAAGCGCGCAGTTGCAGCACACACCGTCTCCTGCTGGGGCAATTAGCCAAACGAGCGGCAGCTGCCAACGCGCAGATTGCTTTTTAGCCAATGCTCAGCCAATGCTACAATAAATTGCAGATACTAAACCAAATATCTGTATATGATTCATGCCATGGCAGGGCGCGCATAAATAATAATCAGGAGGAGAACGTTCACGTCACACAGAGCTGACGCTGCTGACAGTCAGCAAAAAAATTAAGCAAAAAAAATATATTTTAAAAAATACCGAAAAAAAAAAAAAAACAATATACAATGCCAAAAGCAACAACAAAGTTGAGTATGCTCAATGTCCAGAGTCGACCGCAGCTGACAGCCGACGACAAGGGGGCTGGGGCTGGGGCTGCGCATTATGCAATAGCTGTGCGTGCGAGCGAGACGGCGCACAATAGGCCAGCTTTGACCGCAGCTAAAGGCTAAGCGAACAACAGCAACAACAACCGTTAGCTCTCAACTGCTTTGTAAATAGCCGAAAACTGCTGCCGCCGCCCCATGGCCCGCCCCTGCCCCTGCTTAGCCTAAGGTCAAATGGCGTTTAATAATATTTTGTTATTATTTTTTTTTTTGTTCTCTTGGGCCAAGAAACGTGCACACAAGAGATACGTATCTAACAGATACACAATTCGAATAAGACATTCGACTGCAATCGAATGCAGTTCTATTTCGATTTTTGCCTTTTTGGCGCGTGCCAATTAAACGTGCAGCACTCGGAGCAGGAGTCGGAGCCGGAGCAGAAGGTGGGCGTGTGCTGCTGCTGCTGCTGCTGCTGCTGGTGGCTGCTAAAACACAGCATGAAGCATGAAAATTTGTGGCTTACATTTCGTTAAATTGGCAATTGAATTGACTTATCGCAGCCAGCTCGGCCGTAATCAGAGGCGCGCCATTAACCAGGCTAGCTGACCATAAATTGCAATTGAATCATATGGGTATATATAAGCATATATAGAAAGAGAGTGAGCGAGAGATAGAATGAGAGAGAATGACTAATAGATTATTTAGTTATTATTTGGTAAAAAATTAATATAGAACAGTTCATACTTCTTCCCTTTCTCTGTAAGACAGAGATCTATGTGATCTAGTCTTGCACTTATTTATAGTTGATTAAGGAGCTACTGATTTTTAAAATGGTACAACACATACACAAAGATCGAGAGCTGCTACAAATGGTTAAGGATTGTAGATTGTAAAATTGCTTAAATAAAAAAAAACTAAGTTCCTCTCTTCTCCCTCTCTGCAGATATTTACAAGTATTTCTTTTTCCTGAAGTTTCATAAATGTTACTTTATTGCCATTTTTATTATTTTTCCTACAACAAAGTTTTGATGTATATTAAATACACAAATCTTTGAGAAGAAAATAATTTGAAGATATTATATTATTTTTTTTTATAATATATATAATATGATAATATATAAACACAAACAAATATATAAGAGCATATTTTATATATCTTCTTATGATTTTCTTTTATAAATAATTATTCTTTTATGTGATGAAATATGTTCTGAAAATAATATATTATATATTCTTAAAATTTATTTTCATATAAAGATATATTATAAGCACGTATTTCATTATGCGGAAAATTGAATATTATGCGTAATTTCAGGAAAGATAAATCATTTTTTCTGATGTTAAAATATGCTCTTGTTGTATTCTTTACTGTAAGGAAATTGCTACTCATATTCGACTCCTAGATTCTATATATAATATATAAAGAAATTATTATAATATGTACATCAAATTTTTTTGAATACGTGAATATTTTAAGTATTATATTTTTTTATTAACAATTTATATAACAATTTTCCATTTTATCCCTTCCGCCTATTTTCATCTCGCTGCCCCTTTCAGTGGCTCTACCGCTGACCAACCCCAACCGAAGCAAGTGCCAAACAAAAGTTCGGTTAGACAATGAGTGAGACAACCTTGAAACTTACATAATTAGAGAGCTGGGGAAAGACAAAAACTGACCCATTTAGGACCAGAACTGGGTTTTCTCTGACTAGCTGGGGCTTATCCCTCCCCCCTCTCTCCCATAGATCTATTGTAGACTTACCCGTGGCATTGGCACTGTTGATGTAGTGTCGCTGATGCTGCTGATACCACTCGCAGAGGGCGATTAGAACCTGGTCCGTGGGCAGCGGCGACTGCATCGGCGTCTGCGTGGCCGAGCTGGTTGTATTGGGTGACTGGGAGGCGATGCTGCTGGCGCCATCTGAGGCGCCCGACGACGAGGAGGCGCCCGATGATGTCGATGCGCTCGACGAATTCGAGGTGCCCGACGAACTCGAGGCAATGTCATCTCTCTCCTCCACCGGCAGATGAAAGGGCACAGCCATGCTGACTATGTATGTGTGTGTGTGTGTGTGGGTGCGAGTGTGCGTTTGTGTGTGGATATACGTTGATTTTTGTTATCTGATTTTTGGTTGGTTGAATTCGATTTTTGTTGTGCAGTGTTTCGTTTTTTTTGGGACTTTGTTGTCCTGCTTTGACTCGATTACGATTTCGTATTGTTCTTCTCTTGCTCTCTCTTTCTCTCTGTCGTGCACTCAATTAATTTTGTATTTCTTGTGCAATATTTTAAACATTAAGAATTGCAGCATTTTCTTGCATTAGTTTTCAAACTCGATAAATGTTTTGCAGCACATAAGCACTCAAAGTATTTGATTTTGTTTTTTGCTGTTGTTTTTCTATTCATTCGTATGATTTTTAGTTAACATGAATTTTTATTAATTTTTTTTCACTGTTCAAATTTTTAGTTTATTTAAATTTTTTTACAATTTTTTTTATTTATTTAATTTAGTTTAGTTTTTGTTTTTTTAATTTTTGCTATCGATTTTTTTTGCATTTTTCATAAAGCTCGCGCAACTTATTTAAAAACACAAACAATTCGGAAAATTCTGAAATTCTCAAGGCGTGTGCGTGGAAAGAACACACGAAGCACTTAAAACGTGTCGCTAACTCAAACTACGATTCGATTTCCACTTGGCTTGGGTTGAGGAGAAAACACGTCTTACTTCGCTTCGCGGCTAAACTGAACTGAACTGCCTGTGCGGCGCAATGTGAGGCAGAATATCTGCAAGATACGCGCGTTTAAAAAATGACTCAAATTAAGAGAGGGAGAGCGAGAGCCGCTGTCGCTGTCGCCGTTGCCGTCGCTGCTGTCACTGCCTCTGCCTCTGCCACACTTCAAGAGTGCAGTCGGTACTAGTAGCGTAGGCTTATCCACATGCATGCCGCCGCTGCCACCGCCTCTGCTGTTGCTGTTGCTGCAGGTAGTAGTGAGCTGTACTTGTGGCTATGGGGACACAGCTGCAGCGCGGCATCCAGCGTCAGCGCTGACGTCGACGCCAATGCCAGCCACAGCGTCAGCGTCACACACAATGCAAAGAGCGAAGTAAAAAATAAAGCAAAATAAAAAGAGCGAGTAGGCGGCCAGTCGTGCTCACATGTGTGAGTGTGTGTGCGCGAGAGCATGAGCTTGTATGTATGTGTGAGAGTGCCTGTGCGAGACAGACACAGATCTTGTTGAGCAGGTAACTCAGCAACAACAAACAGCGCTGCAGCAGAGCAACGAACGTCGAAGCAAAACAAAAAGTGCGATTACGTTTGCATTGCTGTTGCTGCTGCCGCTGTTGTTGTTCTTGTTCTTGTTGTGGAGCAAAAGAAAAGGAAAAGAGCGAGAGTACAAGCTATGTATGCTCTATGAAATAAATCACGTTGAAGCGACTCGACTCACACATATCCTATAAACAAATTCGATCTACAATAAGTGGGAACAATTTCTTTTATACTTGCTACTAAATGAAATATTATTTTAATTAGACTGAGTATACACGGTTTTCAATTGCAGAAACAACAGGGCATTGCATATACCCTTCTCAATGTCGCGTATACAGGGTATAGCTTCTCAGCCAGTGAGAGCGATAAGCTGAGTTTACGCGCCAAAAAACGTAGCAGATATTTATGCTGAGTTGTACAACTGTCCACAAAATAGTAGTAGAAACTTACAAAAAGGTAGTAAATGGTTTATTGTGATACTTTCGGCAGTTGCATAATACTTAAATAACCGAAATGCATTATATATAATCATTTTTTTGTATTTCAATTGAAATCATAAATAAACAAGTTTAAAAGTTTAATTTAAACAATGTTTATATGAATAAAATAATTTCACCATGTCCTCAAATAATGGGTCCAACATTAAAAACCTGTTTCATTGAGCACACCTTTCCGTAAACAGGCTCTCAAATTATGCTACATCATTCGCTCCTTTGACATCCCCATGGCACTTATTTTGCGCGCGCAAAGTTTCAGAGTATGGAACCTTTTTAAGTTCTACATAATAATTATTGCTTGATTATACTCAAGTTCCATATATGTATGTATGTATTATTTTATTTAAATGTATATACAATATGTTATTAGAATTTTTCTCTTTATTGAATTCGATTGAATTCAAGTTGAACCTTAAGATAAGTTGAATGTCAATGACCTATTTTTGCGGCAAAGTATTAGTTTAGAACAACGAGCTAATATTAGGTGAAGAATAATGTAATACTCATTATTTAATTAAAATAGGTCAATCACATTCAATATATTCCTTCCTTACATACATACATACATACATATGTATTCATTTATTCATATGTACATACATTTTATATCGTATTACAGTCTAATGTTAATCGATAATAGCCATCGAAATGTTAAAGAAATTTAGTATTTCAATTTGTTATGCCACAGCAGCAAAAAGGTAGTAGATAAATAAAGTAATAAATGCATTTAGCATTATCGTATGATTCCAATTTACTACTCCAACTTGACGAAAACGTAAATAAAGCCGCAATGTTCGTTGAAGATAAGACGCACTAATACTAAGGCACACACACACACACACACATATGAGCATAACGCATGGCGTGATGCAAGGATTGCCCAAGATGATGAAATTCAAAAAAACAAAAAAAGGAAAAAAACATGAACATGAATGCGCATGCAACAAGCGAAGAGGCTCAAAAGAGGACTCGCAGAGAGCAGAGGCGGGGCAGCAGCGCACTGCACTGCAAGAAATAAAAAGGGGGCTCGATTTATGATTTATTCTCTGGCTCGCCTTTTGCCTTAGTTTGATTTGATTTTTTCCACTTTTTTTTTTGCTGCTCTCTTTTGGTTTCTTTTCTTTTTGTTTTTTGCTGGCTTTATCACAAAGCTTTTTCATTAGGGATTCGAATTACTTGAGGACGGAGCTGCTTGCCGGCAGGAGCTGCATTGCACACATAGACATATGAGTGAGTGTGTGTGTGTGTATTAGACGAAGCCAGTTGCAGCTGCCGCCTGTTGATTTCTTTTGTTTTTTCTTTTCTGCAATGAAACTGATTAAGCGTAATGTGAGAGAGCCAATGCAAGTTGGCTATGCTTTTATGATTCATATTTCATACATGCATATGCATGTGTGTATGTGTGTATGTCCAGTCTTCACCTAACAATAAGAAAGCAATAAAAGACCAAAAATAAATGCCATAAATGTTGAAGGAAAACAAATTGAAATCACTTTTCAAAACAACAAATATTAAGCCAAATAATAATAATAAAAATAATACAAAACCCGAGAAATAAATAAAACCTATATGCAAACGATGTATACAAATTAAAAGACTTCCCCGTTGACATTTCTGGGTCAGCGACCCAAAGAGTTAAACGAGCCAGCAGCAAAGCAAGTGGAGGGAGCGAAAGAGAGAGGGAGAGAGAGAGGGGGAGGACAGAGTAGTAAGTGGAGTAGTGACCAGTGCCCAACCCAAGTTGTTGAGGCTGCGGCTGTTGTTGTTTTTATTGAATATGATTATGTGGCACGCTGCAAAAGCGAGCGTAAATTATTTATTACACAATTTCGCAGCAGCAACAGCTACAGCAGCAGCAACAATAACGGCAACAACTACAACAACAATGAAAACAAATAAATTTTTGCATTTGGCAGCCGCCACGCAAAATGTGACGAAAACGCCGCCGCCCGCTTCAATAAAAATAAATAATAATTCATATTTACTATAAGTAGCAAGAGCAACAAGAACAGCAACAACAACGATAACCAATTAGGCGTTGCCGCAGCAGTAGCTAAACAACTGTAAATTGTGCGCCTGCGCAGCAGCAGCCGCAGCAGCGCAAATGGAGAACAAAACGCAGCTGAGAAAAAGAACGACAAAATGGGTAACGGGGTAGCGGGGCCTGGACTATGACAGGCAGTGCAAGCTGAGCTGAGTCTGTTCGACACAAATTACCGTTAAATTAAGCGCTGGCTCGTCTGTGAGGCAGCGAGCAAGCAGGCGAGAAAGAGAGGGAGAGAGCAGTGGGAGAGCCGAGAGTGGGAGAGCAGCGAGTGCGAGCAGATTAAGCTGCTTAAATGTGTGTAAGGCTGATAATATTTATGTATGTATGCATGTAAGCTATGCATGCACTGAGCTACAAGTAGCTAAGCTCGACTTGTTATCGATAAAGTGTTATCGGGGAGGCGCAACTCTTTACGCTGCCCAAGCTTACATAAATACAAATATTATTTTTTCTCTTTTTCAATAACACTTTCTATGGCCTCCCTACGCGGCAGTTTATCCCCCATCTTGATGACCTGCTCTTGATAAGAGGCAGAGCAGAGGCAGCAGCAACAGCAGTTGCCCTCGCCCTAGCCAATTGCAACAACAACAACAACAACAACAACAACAGCAGCAGCAACAAAACTCAAATGAAGCGAATGGCAAGAGCTGCGCCTGGGCTTTGCCTAGGGCAAGGGGGCCAAGGGCTAAGGGCCAGGGCAGCTAGCACTGCAGATGCTGCCAGCAGCAGCAGCACGCGACCACAGCGTCACATGTGCCGCAATCTTGTGCAGCCCGGCCCCCAATGCTCCACACAGCAGCAGCCAGCAGCCAGCAGCCGCAGCAGCTGCGAAAACGCCAAGAACATTGACTTTGTGGAAAGCGCAAAAGAAGTCTGAAGTAAAAACAACAAACAGGCGATAGAGAAAAAGCCAAAGACGATGATGAGCATGTGGATGACGATGATGATGATGATGAATTGGCAGACTTATGCAACTTGATGCGTGCCTCAACTAGCAAGGGGAGAGGAAGAGTTGCAACCGCAGTCTGTCGTATCTCTGCTGGACCGTTGACAATTGCTAATGGCAAAGGGTGAAGGGGGAGGAAAGGTGGCACACACCTTTGGGCTTTGATTTTGTAGTCATAACTAACGAAACATTCAATAAAAGCTTCTGCCAACCCTCGCTAGCACTGCCCTGCCGCAACAGAATCCACACACACATACACACATACAGTCACATCCAACTGGGTCACTGACCTATCAAGTGCAAGACCTATTGAGCAGCACGCGAATGAACGAGAGAGCGAGAGCTGGCGAGAGGGTTGGCAGCAGCAGGCAAATGTGGCAGCAAATGTTGCCGAGGGGCAGCGCCATAGCAAAAACTCCGGGAAAAAATATATTTATGCTCCTCTCTCTCTCATTCTACCTCCCTCTCTCTGCAGCTTTCTCTCTCTCTCTCTCTCCGTCTCTCTTGTATAAAAACGAAAGCGCAGGCGAACAAAAAATTAAAATAAACCAACGAGGGGGCGCCCTCGCTGGGAGAAAAAGTGTTGCCAGGCGCGCGAAAGGCGGGGGCGGGATGGGATGTGAGAGGGGCAGAGGCAGAGGCATAGGCAGCGCGAAAGGGAATACAGCCGCAGGCTATGC